AAAAAAAAAAAAAAAAAAAAAAAAAAAAAAACACTCCCACCGGAAATCACAGCACAGTGCTTCCCAGCCATCAGATCACAAATGATCTGATGGTGGTGGTTGCAACAACTGTGAACAGGTAACCGCCACATTTTCTAGAATAAACTCGACTTCTAACAACACTTATTTTGACACCCTCCATATATCGAGTGCTGACTCTACACCGGTTATCACCGGTTATTTGCACCGGATTGATAAGAATACCTCAATCAGGTCGGAAATTCCCATGCGAGTGCTGACTATACAAAGAGAGCTCGGTAAGAAAGACTTCCCAGACGATTTTCTTGAAACGGTATTGCGCTGTTTCACAATGGGAAGGGATAAGATATGGGCTGCCACTTTGCGGTTCATCTGTGATTAGGCTAAAAACTGACTGTGTAAGTTGTGTTCGTTCTTTCAGATTGGATCGGTTGTTCCTGTATAGTAGTTAACCGTGGTGTGATGTATAGGATAGTAGTCAGTAAACAGGTCTTCGAGCATGATTGAGCTGGGAAATTAGTTAGATTGGAATGTCGAGATGCCATAGGCGCTGTGTGAGGTATCGAACAGGGTCTGAGGCGGGTCTGTTCCGTCTGTTTCAGTGATTTTTTCTGATTTTTCGGTTGTATGTGTTTCCTGTGAAGGAAGTGGTCTCACGATTGGGGTTATCGAACAGGATCTGAGGTGGGATCGTTCTGTCTGGTTCTGCGTTTTTCGTGATTTTTTGGGTTTATGTGTAGGATGTGGTCGTATGACTGGAAGTACCTAACAAGGTCCGAAGTGGGTCTGTTCTATCGGTTTTTGTGGATTTTCTTATTTTCCGGTTTTATGTTTTTTTTGCACTAGGAAGTGGTCTGACTACAAGTCTGCAGGACCTTGTCACCCGACCGATCAGGAAGTTGGACCCTGGTTTTGTAGTCTTTTGTGGGCCGTAGGGTCCGGGCGTTTTTTTCCCTGGGAAGCAGCCGACTTACCTTTTGGCTTCGGTGGGTTGGACACTAGGCTACCCGACTATGTTTAGCCGAGAAGCCTAGTGCTATTTTGGAACGGCGCGAACTATAAGAAGATACTAGTCGTAGTTAGTTGTCCTTTTGGGCTGGCGAAACGAACGGGGTTCTTGGGTGTTGTGGTTTGAAGAAGGGAAGGGTTTCTACTACGACTTGCCTTTGTGTGGTTTGGGCGCATTGTGCGCCACTATGTGTACTGCTCTACAGTATCCATCTCACATACTCATATGTTGCTAACATGAACTCTACTGGAGATATCGAGACGGTGGCGAGTGAGCGTTGATTACCTTTGCTACGGATACTTTGTTACTTGATTACCTGTTTTGTTCTTCAACACTCGCTAGTGGCTTAGGTTGAAGTTGTGCGTTGCGAGGTACAGGTGTGCACTGATGCGTATTTGCAAACTGGAGGTACCGTCACACTATTACATCAGGTGGGCATCGGGAGTAGGTCACAATGTCTAATCCTGACCGCCATGGGGAGGGGGGTGAGCCAAGAGGTGGCGATGACCGTGCACGGGAGGAACGAGATCGTGGAGCGAGGGGTGACGACCAAGATCGTGGCGACAGAAGGCGAGGACCGGTCTGTTTTAACTGTAATGAGGTCGGCCACTATGCTAACCAGTGCACGAGACCTAGGAAGTACACTGGAGCTGCCCGACCATCTACGTCCTCAGACTCCAGGTGAACAAGGTCTCCTAGGCGAGGGGATTGGAGACGTGAGCCGGCAGCGCAGCTGGATCCAAGTGTGAAGCACCAAATCAGTGATTTGGGGAGGAGTGTTGCAGCGATGCAACAACATTTCGAAGAGGAACGTGTTCGGAAGGAAAATCGCTTGCGTCGCAAGCAGGAAAAGGAGGAGGAAATATGGCGGGAGGAGCAAGCGAGAGCCCATGAGGACGAGGAACGAGCTATCCGAGAAGCTAAGGCTAAGAAGAAGAAGGATCGATTGAGGTGTGAAGCGGAAAGTCGGGCGGAACTGAAGAAGGACTTAGGCATGCAATTGGTGATGCAGGTTAGCGAGATGGAGGAAAAATTCGTGCAACGCATGAAGAGGGCGCTCGCTGAGCTACAGAAGTTACCGAGTGGAAAGGGTAAGGGAGTCAAGCAGTTTTCGGACACCGATGTTAGTGGTAGCGGGAGTGAAGCCAGCGTTATGCAGGAATTGAGCGAGAGGACGACATGTTTGGTCATATCGGAGAAGTGGATGAGGGGGCCAGACAAGGTGGTGGGGGACAACCCAACGATTCAGTCATCTGCTAAGCGTACGCCGAGACAGCGTCGTAAGCAAGCGACCTTTGCCGGGAGGATGACTCGGGCGCGAGCGAAGGTGGTCAAGTCACCCGGATCAGTCAAACGAACCACACCGGTTCGTACTCCATTATCTGCTGCTAAGAGACAAGTACTGTCGTTGACACCAGGATTGGCGACTCCGAACGCAAAAGGCTCCTTGGCGAGATACAAGTATCGCATCTTGGCGATGATGGGTCTGAAACAGCTGGATGCCAACGAGCTGCAACGGATCTGCCGGGATGAAGGGATACCTTACGATGGTAAGATTGACGTGATCTTCGATATTGCCGACCATCGTACTTACCTGCACTTTGGTGAGGAGCAGGCACCGCTCAAACCGATCGAAACCATCCGTATCGAGGACTCAGAGACAACTAAGTCCCCCGAGGACCAGGAAGATGATGTCGCATATTGATGTGGCTTGCGAGTGCCTCAGCTATAGGCGATTTGCCATTTCCTATCGAGGTGGCCTTGTGAGACGATCGTGATTGATGCTAAGATTGAGGTTTTGTTTAAACGGCGGTACTATTGTTAGCCGTCGATAACTCGATACGTTGGCTCGGTAAGTTTGTTAAAACTGGATCGACTTATATGAGAAGCATGGTATCGAATTTGTGGATTTGGCGGACTGTGTGTACGTGGCTATCTCGCCGTACTGTAAGCACGTCTACGTTGGAAAAACTATACGTAGCGTGTCGATCAGGTGGAAAAAACATTTATACGTTTGTCGTAAGCGCATGCAGACCCATTTCCACAGGTGGCTTGGTGGGTTTGGTCACGGTAACTACTGCCTGATACCAGTTGACGTACTTGGGGGTGTTGACCTTACTAAGCTAGAGCTAGGGTATATCTGACAACGGAGTCTGTTCCTGAATACTTCGGGAACAAAGAAGACCAGGGGTAAAAAGCACCGCCCTAATAAAGCGGGAAGGAAGGAAAGAGCAAGGGGGAAGGGCGTCGCTAAGCAGAAGGGAGAGCACCTGAAGGTAGCACCAATTAAGTTTCGTACCAAAGGTAGTTCGGAGTGGGGGGTGGACTTTTACCACTTGTTTGACGCTGGGAAGACTGAGGGCAAGCTATCGATCCATGTTAGTACAGGAGGAGGCAACGTGTGGTTCCCTAGATGGCGGAGGTTGGTAAAGACCTTCGGAGAATCAAAACTTAGTGTTGGGTCAGATCAGTTGCGCTTGAAGAATTGCAGGAAGCAATTGGAGAAGGGCGGGGTTTTTTCTATTACGTACATTTGCAAGTGGCAGCCACGTTGTGGCTTTTTGAAGGGGCTGTTGATTCAGATTCTGAAAAATCCGAGGAAATTGAGTTCGTTGAAGGGATGGAGTACGAAATCCTGCCTGCGTATCTATAGCGTGATCAAGGAATTTTCTCGTAAATCGACTGGGAAGTACTTTCATCGGCTGGTTTCTCATCTAGTTCGTGAAAGCTTTGGACTAAGTCTTGTTGCTGATCTTACCTTTAAGATTAAGTACGATGATCGTATTCGCATCTGTGAAGTCCGTAAGGTAGTGAATGATGCCTTGATGAAGAGCGACTTCCCGGTATGTTTTCTGCACAGAGCACGGAAGAAGGTACGCATCGTAGGGACAAAAAATCCCACGATTGCGGAGATCTTGCACAATCAGCGTTCGTATTCGAAACGCAAAGTGCTGACTTGTACATGTATAGGAATGTCTTTCCCGAAGGAGGAAGGCCACGTGACCTTTCGTCTGTGTGATTTACTGGACGTATCACCGCTTTTGGCCAATGCTAATAATATACCTCATGCTAGGACGAAAAGGAGGATTGAGAGTCTGTGCCAGAAACTATTCCAAGGTTTTCAAGCGTGGAGTAATCTCAGAGGCGATCCACCTCGTTTTGATCGAGAAAGCGTGAAGCAATGTGTGATGGACGATGGTACCAGGGGCATGGTTCATGGAGTGACACTGGAGGAGGTAAAGGCCTTGAAGAGACGCTTGAAGGGCCTGGTGGTGACATCAGTTGACAGGAACTCTGGGGAAACGGTAGTGATGTGTCCTAGTGTGTACTATAGTGCTATGTTGAGCTTGTTTGTGCTGAATCCGGGGTATAGGATTGTGGAGGATACGGAAGCGTGCATCATTCGTGGGATGGTGGAAGATGTGGCCGCAGTTGAGCTTGGTAAGTTTGCTCGGGTGGACAAGAAGGGTAGCTTCGGGGACGCGTACGTGATACCCAAACACAAAAACTTGGGTAAATTTCATCCCATTTGCCCATCCTTTGCTGATCCTTTGGGAAAGACTGGGAAACTGGTGTCTAAAGGGCTGAATCATCTGCTGTATACAATCCCAAGCTATTGGCACTTCAACTTGAGTTCGGTCTCTAATCTGGTGACTGAGCTGGATAAGGGCAATTGTAAGTTAGGACGCTTGGGAGGCGGTTATACTACGGCGGCATATTCGTTTGATATTAAGGAAATGTTCACGAAGTTGCCGCACGACGATATCATCGACGCTGTTGATTGGCTGATTGACTGGCACAGTCTAAGGATCGTGATATGGTAAGGGTGAATACCAAGGGGAAGGGGGCTAGTTTTGGAATGACTACGGGAGCTGATCACTGGGCTTGCCTGGATCTGGAAGATATTCAATCGTTCGTACGGGTGGATATGCGCAATACATATTTTTTTGCCACTGGGGTATTGCTGAAACAGGAGGTGGGCATCCCTATGGGGAAAAAGTAATCTATATTCTTCTCTCAATCTATTTCATCTTTCTTGGTAGTCCGCATCTATCTCATCCTCTCACTAGTCTATTTATAGTACGGGGGAACACCAACCAACCCGGATCTCTCCCCAACCCACGGGGTAGGTTTGCACCACAGTTGTGGTGCGAGAGCAAGGCTGTACCAGTCCCTCATCACGGTGACGAGGGGTGGGCAGGCATTGCCGATGGGGGAAATCGGCGGTGCTAGCGCCGAGCAATGGCCAGTCACTGCACCTCCCCCTACCCCCCCCCAACCCCACATGGTGGTGTCTAATGGCCAATATTGTCGCTGCATAGCAGCCAACAACATCAGCCAAGGTCTTGCCAATGCTGGCTTGGGGGGCCAACGGGTTATCTCTAGCTGGTAGAACACCAAGCTTGCCCAAGCACGTACGTGAGGCCAATGGGGATTGAACCCACGACCTCCTGAATGCAACTTCTGTGCGCTTTTAGCTTTCCATCATAAAGGGATTAAAAAAAGAAAATAAAAAAAGGATCAACAAAGTCTTGGCCTTTTTTTTTTTTTTTTTTTTTTATAAATAAAACACGCCCTCTGCAATGCTAGCGATGTTGATAGGAGCAGACACCACTAGCACCCGGGGGAGGGCTCCATCTATTGGTGGGGAGCGACACCTGTTGGAAACCAGGTCCAGCGTCCCTTAACAATTGCATTCATTTGTATGGCGTAATATACAGTAGATGTATCTGTGTGCCCCTGAGAGCGCTGATACTGACTTCTATAGATTGAGCAGGAGTATGAAAAATAAAACATGCATGCCCCCTTTTTCTTTCTAATCCAAGCCATATTTATTCAGTATTCTTAAAGGCCCCCTTGGGAGGTTGGTGTCGGATTCCAAATGATGTACCTGAGTTGGAGACCCATCCTTGACCGGCAACAGACAGATGAGAGTGGTAGACAGAAGCGGAGAGGAGGGGAGGGGGGGGTTGTGGAGGAGGATGGATCTAGGGGGCAAGATAGTGGTGTAGATCAGGGGAAGGGTGAGTCATAGGAAAGGGTTTGACCAGGCCAGGTGGTAGGGGAGGTTCTGTTACGTCACCAAAACGAAGTTGGTCAATTTGTAATCCACTGAGAAGTGAGACTTCGTGTAACCTAGCAGGATGTGGGGTGTGAGACCTGGAAGAGCTCGGCAGGGAGTAGGACAGTGTTGAAAGGCCTCGGAAGGGGCGTTAGGGATTCCAAGGGTTTCTGAGCATTTGTAGCACCCGCCAGGTCTTTTTCTATGTTGTCAATTACAAGTTTTTACTTAGTTAAATACAGTTCTCAAAAAAGAGGGTAGTCTGTTCTGTCTTTAAAATGTCTTCTGGATCCTGGGGTTTCCTGACAATCTCTTCTAGGTAGTCTCAAGGCTGTTCGACGCCAGAACGACGCTGGCCGGTGTCGGGGTATTGCCCTGTAACCTGTTGACGCAGGGGCATGAGGCCTGGTAGAGAGATCTGGGGGTGCTTTGGGGGGGCATCCCACGGGACAACCAAGGGTTGCTGCTGAGACGACGCTGGCCGGAGCTGGGGTGAGTTGTGTTTCCCTGTAACCCAGCAGGATGGGGGGTGTGAGGCCTGGAAGCTCGGCAGGGAATACGACAGTGTTGGAGATCCTTGGAAGGTTTTGTTAGGGATTTTGCGGGATTAGGGTTTTTTTTTAGGACTTTTGCAGTCTATTTCCGTACCCTTTTCTGAGTAATGGGAAGGAATGGGATCGAGAGAGAAAGGTATCACGCGTCCTGCTAGTGAAGGGGCTAGCTGGTAGGACAGAAATAGGGCATGGCAGCAGTAGAGATGGTGGCTTTGCTGCATAAGTCTTGCCGGAGTGGGGTGAGGTGGACTGTTGGTGGATTCCCGAGTCTTCTTCTGTTTTTTTATTATCTCTGAAGTTCCTTACAAAAAAGCTCTGAAGTAGCTCTAAATTCCTTCAATTGGACTTTCTCAGAACATCCTTAGTTTCACTGTTATGAAATTTCTGATGTTTTTTTTGAACGTACTCATGGGACGCTGGGCCCGGTTCCCAGCTCGTGCCAATTTGAGAGGATATGGTTGTATCTATGGGACG